ACCACTGATTAGAAATGACGTCTTTCGAGATATTAGATAAGCATCTTAATTACAACAGTAATTTCAACGCTGGGTCCGTGACAAAAATAAGATTTAAAGAATACTTTCGTAATTTCTAGAATCCTTTATCCCAGCACCATGCCAGAGTACAGACACAATCATACACCCACCCCCCACCCCCCACCTACCCATTCCTTTAACCATATCCCTTGGGCTTGGGCCTTAAGCCATGAATAATCATGAAGTTGAGGAATTTACTTTTTTTCAAATAATTGTTCGATCCTTTCATTAAAGTATAGGGTGTATTGTAAACCCTGGAGGTTTGGGAAATAAACAAAACAATATTTTTGCCTTAATTACCCAGGACAACAGGGTTAATTGATCTTTGAATGGGGTTTGGTGAGTCAACAGAGGTATTAAGAAGCAACCAGAGCCAAGTAAATGGGTCTGGATAAACATTAAACAGTGCTGAGGGTGCTATAGGGTTGAATTGTTTGGATAAACTCCAAATGATCATAGAGCTTTGATTCTCAAATAATAATGATAATGATAAGAAAATGATCTTAGTTTTGAAGATAAGGATTGATACAATTCACGATTTAAACTATATACTCATTTCTAACTGGTTTAGTTAAAAAATGTCATGGTTCAGATTAACACAATATCGCATAGATTCGGTTTCGATGATAAACTTCATGGTTTAGATAAGAATGTCATGGTTAAGATAATAAACAATATGGTTTAGATAATAATCTCCATGGTTTAGACAATAAACACCATGGTTTAGATGATAAACTCTACGGTTTAAATGATACAATCCATGGTTTAGATGATAAAATCCATGGTTTAGATGATAAAACCCATGGTTTAGATGATAAAATCCATGGTTTAGATGATACAATCCATGGTTTAGATGACTAAATCATGGTTTAGATGACAAACTTCATGGTTTAGATGATAAAATCCATGGTTTAGATGATAAACTCCATAGTTTAAATGATAAAATCCATGGTTTAGGTAATAAACTCCATAGTTTAAATGATACAATCCATGGTTTCAATGATTAACTCCATGGTTTAGATGATAAACTCCATGGTTAAAATGATACAATCAATGGTTTAGATNCAAACCATTCCTACATAGAAGTTCAAGCTATACCGTTCGAATCCATTCCTACATAGAAGAGCAAGCCATACTGTGCAAACCATTCCTACATAGAAGTTCAAGCTATACCGTTCGAATCCATTCCTACATAGAAGAGCAAGCCATACTGTGCAAACCATTCCTACATAGAAGTTCAAGCTATACCGTTCGAATCCATTCCTACATAGAAGAGCAAGCCATACTGTGCAAACCATTCCTACATAGAAGTTCAAGCTATACCGTTCGAATCCATTCCTACATAGAAGAGCAAGCCATACTGTGCAAACCATTCCTACATAGAAGTTCAAGCTATACCGTTCGAATCCATTCCTACATAGAAGAGCAAGCCATACTGTGCAAACCATTCCTACATAGAAGTTCAAGCTATACCGTTCGAATCCATTCCTACATAGAAGAGCAAGCCATACTGTGCAAACCATTCCTACATAGAAGTTCAAGCTATACCGTTCGAATCCATTCCTACATAGAAGAGCAAGCCATACTGTGCAAACCATTCCTACATAGAAGTTCAAGCTATACCGTTCGAATCCATTCCTACATAGAAGAGCAAGCCATACTGTGCAAACCATTCCTACATAGAAGTTCAAGCTATACCGTTCGAATCCATTCCTACATAGAAGAGCAAGCCATACTGTGCAAACCATTCCTACATAGAAGTTCAAGCTATACCGTTCGAATCCATTCCTACATAGAAGAGCAAGCCATACTGTGCAAACCATTCCTACATAGAAGTTCAAGCTATACCGTTCGAATCCATTCCTACATAGAAGAGCAAGCCATACTGTGCAAACCATTCCTACATAGAAGTTCAAGCTATACCGTTCGAATCCATTCCTACATAGAAGAGCAAGCCATACTGTGCAAACCATTCCTACATATAGAAGTATAAGCTATACTGTTTAAATCTATTCCTACATAGAAGTTCAAGCTGTACTGTTCAAACCATTCCTTCATAGAAGAACAAGATATTCTGTTCAAATCCATTCCTACATATAGAAGTTCAAGCCATACTGTTCAAATCCATTCCTACATATAGAAGTTCAAGCTATACTGTTCAACATAGAAGAACAAGCCATACTGATCACACCCATTCCTACATAGAAGAACAAGATATTCTGTTCAAATCCATTCCTACATATAGAAGTTCAAGCCATACTGTTCAAATCCATTCCTACATATAGAAGTTCAAGCTATACTGTTCAACACATTCCTTTATAGAAGAAAGATATACTGTTTAAATCTATTCCTACATAGAAGTTCAAGCTGTACTGTTCACACCATTCCAACAAAGTAGTTCAAGCTGTACTATTCAAATCTATTCCTACATAGAAGTGTAAGCTGTACTGTTCAAATCCATTCCTACATATAGAAGTTCAAGCTGTACTGTACAAATCTATTCCTACATATAGAAGTTCAAGCTGTACTGTTCAAATCCATTCCTACATATAGAAGTTCAAGCTATACTGTTCAACCCATTCCTTCATAGAAGAAAGATATACTGTTTAAATCTATTCCTACATAGAAGTTCAAGCTGTACTGTTCACACCATTCCTACAAAGTAGTTCAAGCTGTACTATTCAAATCTATTCCTACATAGAAGTGTGAGCTGTACTGTTTAAATCTATTCCTACATAGAAGTTCAAGCTGTACTGTTCAAACCATTCCTTAATAGAAGAACAAGATATTCTGTTCAAATCCATTCCTACATATAGAAGTTCAAGCCATACTGTTCAAATCCATTCCTACATATAGAAGTTCAAGCTATACTGTTCAACCCATTCCTTCATAGAAGAAAGATATACTGTTTAAATCCATTCCTACATAGAAGTTCAAGCTGTACTGTTCACAACATTCCTACAAAGTAGTTCAAGCTGTACTATTCAAATCTATTCCTACATAGAAGTGTAAGCTGTACTGTTCAAATCCATTCCTACATATAGAAGTTCAAGTTGTACTGTTCAAATATATTCCTACATATAGAAGTTCAAGCTGTACTGTTCAAATCTATTCCTACATATAGAAGTTCAAGCTGTACTGTTCAAATCCATTCTATATTTCTAGAAATGCAAATTACTTAGAGCCCTTTAAAAATTACAACACAATCCTTTATTTTTTTCTCTTTTCCTTTTTAATGCTCTCAGAAAAGTTCAAACCTAAAGAACATTATATCAAGAATTTCAAGACAAAACCCAGTTTTAAGATTTTATTTGAGAAACATTAGAGATTTATTTGTTTCATTTTCTATCAAAAAGACTAATGATATAAAATAGTTGTAAATTATAAAAATGATAAATTTATGTTAAATAAAATGTTCTGGAATTTACAACAACAGGCCAGGCACCCCCCTCCCCTGACAGAATGTGGCGGTTTTTATTGTTGTGAACCCGTTAGACCTGTTGACAACCCCCCTTTCCCCCTCCGGCTATATATATATATATATTATATATAATCATGATTATTAAAGTAAACAACAAAGTTGTAAAACTAAAATTGTATTTTTTTAAAGAATATGGAAGTAAATAGGTAGTATTGAAGGCTAAGAAAAAGTATAAGTTGACATAAAAAAGATTTCTAAAAACGTAAACATTTTTTTTTCAAAGTTCTTTTAACCTTAACCATAGATTTAAAAAAAATACGTTTATCAATATTGACGAGAAACAAAATAGAAATAAGATATAAATACTTTGTGAACAGAATAAGTTGTTGGGAGGATCTTATTTAGTACAGTGATAACCAGAAAACTGTGGAATAGGAAGACGAGTTAAATGAGTCTGTTTAAACTGCATAATTGCTGTGTCTAATGTTTATTAGACTAATTAAAGTCACAACTTGAGTCTAAAAGTCGATTTCCTTTTCCAGAGTTTTCTGGTTATCACTGTATATATAATTAGTTCAGTTGATAATTAACTTGAATACGAGATGTATAGATAGATAGATTATACTTTCACTACAAAAATGCTCCTGTCAAGCCTATCCTAAATAAATAAAAAAAATTTACGAACCAATACAACAAACACGTTGGAACATTATTGGAACTAATAGAGCAGAAAAATGATTTTTAAAAGTTTGTCTAAAAATAGGGTGNAGCAAAGTGGAGGGGGTGGGAGGGTATTGTTAGAGTATGATATGGCCAGAATGGGGGGAAGTGGGGTCCAAATAGAAAATCATTAATTATTATCACCACTACCTGTTATGTCCTTTAAATGGGAAGGCTGAGATTTGTAAAAATGAAATTTAGTTAAATTAATTTTGTAAAAAATATCAAATAATCAAAAAAACATTAAAAATTTAATAATTTTTTTTCTTCATAATTTCAATTCTTTAATTTTTCAACCCTAAACTGTGTAGCAATATGGAAAGTGTGTAAAAGGTTTTTGCCAGCTGTTAGTAGTAAAGGGCAATACCTTGGTTCGGTTTTTATCTTTTAAGGTTCTTAGTTTTTTAAAGGTTTCACACAAATCTGAGAATTTTTAGAAATTTAAAATGGTTTGTTCGAAAAGTTTGCTTTCCTTATATTATGTTTAAATTCAACCCTGAGATATATGCTAAAACAAACGTTTTTTTATTGGTTTTTACTTATATTTCTCTTTGGTTAAGATTTTGCATGGTTTAAATGTTGGAACTTTCACAGATTTTAGTGTGCTTAAAATGAAAAAATTCTAAAGGGTGAATAAATCAAATGACATTGGTGGGGAGGGGACGATTTGAAGCTGTCTACAGTCAAAATAAATTTTTACTTGCAGTTTTTTTGTCAACTAAGGAATTATAAAAGCTACAATTCAAATAATTTTATGATCATCATAAGGCAGAATTAATTATTAGAAATTTTCTCCCACCTGCTGTAAAAAGTGATTGAAGGATGACAAGAATAAAAACTGATCGGTTCATCCTGAACTTTTATTCTTTTTCTTTGAAGGTTTTCTAAACGCCAACCATATTATTCACAAAACATTATCATCAGAAGGATTGCATGAGAGATCGTGAGTTTCACGTCTTTATCTCCTGTACAGCCACTGTTCTACTGAGCGTTGAAATCGACAGTTTCCATATATACCGGTGCACGTGACGTCAGGGAGTCTGACCAATCAGGGAAAAGGACTCTCGGATCCAGCCAATAGGAGGACAGAGATTCAGAGCCCTGAAAACTTCAACATATGACAGATAATAGAAATGATTTTACGAGAAATGATGTTTAAAGAGACATATATAAGTTTATCTGAATTTCGAAAACAGGAATTATTATATCTATTTATTTTGATGAGAACGCATCGCAATCGTATTCTTTTCTTCAAATATAACAATAATGTAGTTTATTCCTGTAATCGCGTTCGAACCATTTACATACTGCAGAGACCAAAACTTTAAAGTGGTTTCTATAAACAAAAATCTTGATTGATATAATTTTTAGATATTCTGTGAAAAACAGTGGTTTGTACCAGATCATCCCGAATACAAAATTATGTTTGCATTAATTCTTAGGATTAATTATGAGTCCCCCCCCCCCCCGTTTTTAAAGCGCAAAGATGCAAAAAAGTACAGTTAACTGTTAAACTTTACTTTAATAATTTTGTTGGCAAATTAGAAATCTACTCTCTCAACTATGTAATATCAAGGTCATTAAAAGGTCTTAAAAAATTTCAAAATCTTTAAGGACGTTATTCATTGTAAAACACAAGGTTTCATTAAATCAGTTGAGATTTTCTCCCTTAAAGGGACTGTAAGCGTAATTTCATGTGATCCTCCATGCAAAGATGACAATGCGCGATTCACAACTGTAGCCTAAATAGCTGATCAAGTATGAATTAGATATAAATGTTTATAATAAACTGATATATTTCTAAATGGTAGTTTCTCAACAACAGTGACTTTCTCATTTCTTACAGCAGGAAAACAAATAAGTATTATCAGAATTAAACACGTTTAAACCTAGATACAAGACAAAATCTTCCACATCAGAAATAAATTTAAAGGGTATCTCTGTGAATCAGATCGCTTGAAATTACGCGTACGGTCTCTTCCAAAAAAAGCGAGACAATATTCTGAAATTCAATTTTAAATTCTAAACCTAAAGGTTTCTCAGGTTACTGGTTTGAAGTTTGATTATGACTTTGACACCAATGACGACTTTTGAATCTTCTATTTACGCATATTAGTTCGTAAATCTGACAATACTATGTCGAGAACTAATGTTGCTTTTTTAAAATCTTTATGATCATAAATAAAAATACAAAGAAAATAAAATCTATATTTTGAATGTCTTAAGACGAAAAAGCTTATCAAATGAATTTCTGGGAACTACAGGGTTACACACAAAGAATGAGACGCTAGAGACGACTCTTCGGCATTTATGCTAGCTGTCTCTTTACGTTTATGATTCCCTAAAATTTCAAACTTGTTTGTTTCTTTAGCCAAATCCTTGAATACCCCATTAATAGACTTTATTCAAGAAAGGAAATTTAATTTAACCTTAAAATCCTCATATTTTAAGAGTTTCAGGTCGTCTTTATTGTCTTATCCTTATTAGGTAACCCAATATGTTTAATACTTTTAACTTTAAATTTTTTTAAATCAAAACACTTGACAATAAAGAATCTTTATTCTTTTCTGAACATAACTTCATCCCGTCTGAAGTACGTAAATATTCAAACTTTTAAACTGGAAACTGGACTGCACTGTTTTGTACTGTACTGCACTTTACTGAAATGTACTGCACTGTCAGCATTTGTATTGCACTGTGCTGCACTGTACTGCACTGTACTGCACTGTACTGCACTGTACTGCACTGTACTGCACTGTACTGCACTGTACTGCACTGTACTGTACTGAACTGTGCAGTACAAAAATCATAAATATTAGGCAAAAAAAATTAACTAAGCCATTTTGAACAAAATATCAATAATCTTTTAAAAGCGTAAAGTCCCGTAAATATAAAGATCATTATAAAATGGTTTTATTACAGAATTATTTTTCCTCTGATAGAAATAAAAGTAAGTTTGAATAATATTCCTGTTTGAAGTTTTCTCCCTCTGACTGTAAGTAGCTCCAAAGGATTCTGTTACGTCGAATTTAAGTCCGGCGTCAATCAGCTGTTTAGCGAGAATTCTACTCTCCTCCTCCCAGACCTTATCCTAAGAAAATTAAAAAAATCTGAAATCAAATTGAAAAATTCTATAAAAGCTTAGTTATACCAGATTACATCGAACTATTCTAGATATTATATACTTTGAAACTAAAAGGCTTTTGTAATTCTACGTAGATAAACTAGTTCACCTAACTGAGTACTACCTCCAGTACCATGAGAACTACCTCTTCTCTAAGTCCGGTGTATCTGAACCTACCTGAGAACTACCTCCAGGACCAGAGTATGTACCTGAAACTACCCGAGAACAACCTTTAGGACCGGAGTATGTACCTGAACCTACATGAGAACTACCTCTAGGACCGTAGTATGTACATGAACCTACCTATGAACAACCTCCAGGATCGGAGTATGTACTTTAACCTTAAAGAGAACTAACTCTAGGACCGGAGTATGTACCTGAACCTACCTGAGAAATAGCCCTGGACCTGAGTCTGTTCTTGAATCTCCATGAGAACAACCTCCAGTACCAGAGTCTTTTCTTGAACCTTCATGAGAACAACCTCCAGTACCGGAGTATCTACCTGAGTCTACCTGAGAACTACCTCCAGGACCAGAGTATGTACCTGAACCTACCTGAGAACAGCCTCTAGGACTGGAGTGTTACCTAAACCTATTTGAGAACTACCTCCTGGACAGAAGTATCTACCTGAACCTATCTGAATACTACCTCCAGGACCGGAGTATGTACCTGAACCTTCCTGAGAACTCCAGAACCGGAATCTGATCCTGAACCTACCTGAAAACTACCTCCAGGGCCGGAGTATGTACCTAAACCTACCTGAGCACTACCTCCAGGACCTGTGTATGTACCTAAACCTACCTAAAAACTACCTCCAGGACCTGAGTATGTTCCTGAACCTACCTGAAAACAACCTCTAGGACCGGAGTATGTACCTGAACCTACCTGAAAACTACCTCCAGGACAAGATTATGTACCTAAACCTACCTTAGCACTTCCTCCAGGACCAGCGTATGTACCTGAACTTACCTGAGAACTACCTCTAGGACCAGATTATGTACCTGAACCTACCTGAGTACTACCTCCAGGACCAGATTATGTACCTGAACCTACCTGAGTACTACCTCCAGGACCAGAAAAGGTTCTGACGTAGAAAACTGCTTTGCTTACTTCCTCCAAGAAAACTTCAGGATCTGTAGGGGCTGGATAACTCGAGAAATATCCCTGAAATAACAAATCAAAATATTTTAAGTAAAAAAGCAAAAAAGTGTGTCCTTACCTCTTCATTCTTTTGTGTGAGGAAATTGCAGGTTGTGAATTTGAAATCTGGCAGATTATTTAGGGTCATTGTGTACACAATTGGCATATTCTGGGATAGCTGTCTTTCTATAATAATAAATAGTTATTTCCAAAGAGAATAGAATATAAATTAGAGGGGAATTTACTAGAAAAAAGTGTAAAACGGCCATTTTGTTGTACTGTTTCCATACTGCAGGTGTACTTCACATATTTATGCTATATAACCTTTTGGGCCCTGGAACATCATTTTATAGAAAATCTAAAATTAATATAAAAAGAAAACCAAATTATAAAATAGGCTGGTTTCATCATTGACCAATGATCATTTCACATAGACTCTCTGACTTTTACTTTAAAAACGATGATTTTCCGTTATAACTATAAATCAAATGATGTCTTTTATTCACCTAATTCATTATAAAGTTTATTTAACAGCTTAAAAAAATTCTGCATATAATTTGTGAACATTTACATGATTTGTACACTTTGAACTCCCTTTCAGGCTGACAGGGACTGAAAAAATGCATACCGAGAGATTCTCTAAATTCCCCTCTAATATATATTCTATTCTCTTTGGTTATTTCATACAAAATCTTTAGTTGATATAAACAGAGGTTCACAAGTGAGAAATTTTGAACAATATTTTTATCATTTATCAACTTTAATGGAAAAAACAATGTTCTCTTTTTTAAGCTCTATAGCTTTATAGAATATTGGGTCCCAGATTAAGGTAAATCAATTATTATTGTCACTATTAATGCTACAAAGTTTTAACTTTCTATAATATTTATTTTATTTATGCAAATAAAATTTGTTTACGTTCAGTATTTTCTCCATTTAAATATGCACTGATTTTCTTCCAAGAATTCTCGTGCTCATTATTATCCTTTTTATCCTGAAATATTCTAGTTTTATTTCAAATCAAATCATGATATTTAAAGTGATTAAAGGGACTGTTAACGGGATTCTGAATGATCTCCAGTTACAGCTGCATGTCTGATTCACAAAGGTACCCTATAAACCAGGATCTGACAACAATAAGGAAGATATCGTCGTTTTTAATTTAGAAAAGAGGTCAAATCGGACAATTTCCTTTTTTCTCTCTGCTGTTGAAATCCACACTAGAGAACTCCCAATTGGAAAAAAATCTATTTTTGGATAGACAAACGATGATATCATCATCATTCTTTCTCAGACTAGGATTTCAAGGGTACCGGTTGAAATCGGACATGCCATTCTTTAAATGGGTAAATTGAAATTATGTCGATAAAGTCCTTTTATTTAAATATTATCATTTACAAATTAATTAATATGTTTTAAAGTTATTTTTATCTGGAAACGTAGAGTAGAAATGCAGTGTAAAATAACAATTTAAAGAAAGAATCGATTTATTAATTTAGTATTCTAATTTCATTTAAACATTTAAACAATAGTTTATAAAGAGGTTGCAACTTTTGTGTGGAGTATTTTTAATCTGAAGGCTAAATATCTAGATATTTAATTTGAGCACTTTTAAATTTGAGGATCAATGTTTGATCCCCTCACTTCAGGTTATGACAACCACGGGATATCAATCCATAAATCTGATCAATGCTTGATCCCGGGATTTAGAACACAAAAGTTCTGAATTCTGTATGATTCTTTCAAAGTATTTGTACAGAGACGAGAATAACATAAAATTCCGTTCTTTCATGGTTTAAACGGTATTTTATTTTATAGGAAAACAAGTAACAACAATTTTTCAAAACAGAGAATAAAAGTTAATAGAGTGGAAATAACTCTGAAATTATTAATTGTGCATGGTACTGCACCAATATGAATCACTTGTAGATTTTTCTGCAATATTGTTCTTTTAAGATGTTCATATTGTTCGTTTCTAATTTCTACACAGTTGTTTTGAAAAGTTAAACATTATTTAATAACATTAGAATACAACAATATATGTATATTTGTAGAGTGGTAATATCTTATTTAAATAATTCTAAAAAGAATGTACAATATCAATTAGAATCAAAACTATTTGCCACCAACAAATTTCGATTGTCGTAAAATTGTTTAAATTCGCGATATTTATAAGAGACAAAGTATTTTGTCATTATGATTATGTACAAAGATGCTCACAGATAAAAACCATGAAAAGTTGAAGTATAAGTCATAGTATCTATATAATTAGTAGAACATATTTCGTAGATTTTTCTGTTAAATTTTTCGCATTTTCTTGGCAAAACTTGTTATCTTTCACAAACAAACAGACAAACAAACACCCAAACAACCACCCGAAAAGCAACGCATATATATATATATTGTTGTACTGTTTCCATACTGCAGGTGTACTTCACATATTTATTTCTATTGACAACTAACTTGAATATTTCCATTAAACTTGGTGCAAACCATCAGCATCTCAGGATACAGACGCTCCTCAAACTTCTGAACTTCGGAAAACAGATGAAATTTTACAAAATAATATCCGTCTTTAAAAAAAAATAATTTTGGCAACACTTTAGGATTGAAAGAGTGGGATTCATTTTGTATTCAATGCCCCGGAAAATTCTCTATGCAGGCATCCCACAGATATTATTTTTCTGGATCTACAAAATTCTTACTGTTTTGGACTTTTCCGGGGCATTGAACACAACATGAATCCCACTCTGCCGATTCATCCCGTTGAACCTAAACTTAGAATCTTTAAACTAACAGGATTCATAGTTTAAATTATCTAAAAGGTCTACAAAATTGTGTTGCAAAGATATAGGGATTTGAAAATCAGACTGTGTGGCAAAGACTCATTTTCTTTGTTTGAATACTGCTCCAGCCCGAGCATGCTTAGCTTTAGTTTAGCGTAAAGGGCGTGCTACAACATATTTAAAAGTGTTAAAATTACATGTTTTAACTTTAGAAAACATCTCAGTCTTTCATACTTTGTGGTAACATGAGATTGTTTTAAATTGAATTGAAACCAAACTGTTAAATGGAAATCATTCATACATTTTTAATTATTCTAAAAAGCGTAGCTATTTCAACATAGTAAACAAGAAAATCAGTTCATTATGCTTAAACTTTATAAAAGAAACGATTGGTAAAATGTTTTTAGTACTTTTTTACTTTTACTTACATCGTTGGAAGTTGTTGGTTCCCAGTTCGAACTTGATGCCTCAACTACGCCAGTTTCCTCAAAAGATCCTTTAAAATATTTTTTCCACTTTTCTGTTTTTAATTGCCTAAGTTATCCCACAAAAAAAGGAAAATGTCTATAAAATGTCTGCCACATGAGTTTTAATTGATATTTCCAATCTGAAATAAGTGAATTTGACTAAACATGATATATGACAATTTAAGAATATCCACAGCATGGCAAAGTTCAATTTTTGGCATATAGGTTACACGTTTCGGTATATGCCTAGAGAACGATTTTTGGACCCCNAATATGGCAAAGTGACCCTCCATGCAAATATGGCAAAGTGACCCTCCATGCAAATATGGCAAAGTGACCCTCCATGCAAATATGGCAAAGTGACCCTCCATGCAAATATGGCAAAGAATGATTGATAACAGTCCCTTAAAAACTTTGTCTGATCAAGTATGAATTAGAACTGTTTTTCTTTTTGAAAACTGTTTATTTTAATTTGTGGGTTCTCTGCAAAAGTGACTTTTCTTGCTATTAAGAAAGACTAGAAAAATGATCAAAATTAAACCCTTTTAGAGTCAGATTGAGGTTTCAAGGGTACCGTTGTAAATCAGGCATTGTTATCTTGTCAGTAAGGTCACTGAAATTACGCTTATAGTCTCTTTAATAGGCCATTGTATGTGGGACACACTGTATCTTGCCTGAATCTGTTTTCTCTTCAAGTTTAAGTTGATCAACTAGCTCCGAACTGAGGATTTCTTCACTTCCCTCCTCTTTCTCCTCATTTAGCTCCAAAGATGCTGACCCTCCACTCTGCTCCCAAGAAGGGGATCCAGCCGAATGCTCCCAAGAAGCTCCACCAATATCATGCTCCCAAGAAGATGATCCAGCATTCTGCTCCCAAGACGAATGTTTATCATGGTGTTTTTGCTCCCAATATCCTGCTCTTCCGTGCCCCTTGATATGAGACCTTTTCGATTCCCAACTTGGTCTTGATTGCTCCCAACTATGAGGTCTTTTGGAGTCCCAGCTTGCATGCTCCCAGGATCCGGACTTAGACTCCCAGGAGTGGGAGTCCCAGGCAGATCTGAACATAGTGGGTCATTGTTATTTTTGGGACAGTTTAAAAATTAAATGGATTAATTTTATATTCAACTATAGCTGGAGTGCCTGGCGTTGCCAGTTAAATTAAAAAAAAACACATTTGAAAATACTCAATTTTTAACGTTATAAAAGTAGATATATCATTTATTCTTGATCATGCAAAAAAAAATGTCAAGGGTGAAACGGACTCAACTTAAATACGGGGTTACCAACATCAAAGGATGAGTAACTTTAAACTGGTTTCTTCCTTTGCCGAGTCATTAAAAAAGCAAATTAAAGAAAACACTAAAAGCAGAACACATACATTAACCTTGAAATTGTCATATTTTAAGAGTGTTAAGTCGTCTTTACAGTCTTATTCTTTGTGGGTAACACTGTTTAAAGGCTCCATTTTTCGCTTGTACATATATGCAGGGTTATCCACAAGTCTTTTGTCTTAAGTATTGTCTTTTCGTGGCTTATTAAATGATTTGGCAAAGACAGATTAAACAAGTTTAAAAGAATCATGAATATAAGGAAACAGACAATAGAAATTCCGTACAGTTTTTCCTTCAAGTATCATTTCATGGGTAACCCTGTCAGGGCGTTAAACAAGTTTGTCCAGGGGGGTGGCAGAACAAATTTTTCCAGGGCTGGTTCAGCGCCCCTTACGGGGTGGGGTGTCTCCCTTCATACGCCTCTGAACCCTGTATCATTTATGCCTTATCTTACATAAAAATTTTGCGCCTCATTAGTAGTAAAATTATGTGGATCTATCGCACAGACCAATCTGGCTTTTTACTCACAACTATCCAGGCAGACTCACAACTATCCAAAAAGGGATCCATCATTTATTTGGGCTTTATGGAGAAGCACTAGCTAATTTTTATTTTTTTACATTTTTAAATTTGCTTTTTCTAATATTTTTATTTTTTACTCAAGACTCATCATTACAGAAAAGTATCAGAAAAGAGTCTAGAAATTAAAAAGAATGATACAGAGATTTTGGATTTTGATGAGCCAGCAGTGAGCCATGAAGAGCTAGGATCTGTAGGATTGAGTCCAAGTAACTTTTAACTTTAGTAATAGTATTTAATATAATATATACCTGTCTCCATTTATCCTATATCCTTTAATCACCTAAACAAAATTCAAATATGATTTAAGAGATTGTTTGTAAATTTAATAAATAAACATTTAAATAAAAAAAATAGTGAAATATAGATCTTTTTAATTACTCGTTGTTTGTAAACGAAAAATTGTTCCTGATTCCCCTACTGCAAAGTTTTTTTTGGACGGCATATAAAAATATTTTTCTCGATAAAATAAATATAAAGATAATGGCATACACAGCACAGAAAGAACCCTCATGAATAGAATTCTTGATGGTAAGCATTCAGTGCCCAGCGTAGCCAGTGAGATAAAAAAATCGATTTTTGCAACAAAAAAATTGCATATTTCAGAATTTTTTTTAATTTAAAAAAACCGATTTTTAGCCAATGTTACCCCTTGGGTACCAATGGGTTTCCTAAAAAAAATTCTGCCATTCGGTCAGATATAACTGACATATTATATAGATTTTCGGTTTTGTAATTATATACAGCAATCAAAAATCAAAGCCGTTTAAGTTGTTAAAAAAAATATACTAAATCTTTAGATTAGAATCATTTAAAATTAAGACAAAATCTATAAACACGCATGTCTATAATGCGGCCGCGGCGATCAAGCTATAGAAGTTTTTATCGAAGAGCATGAAAGGCCAAGACAAAATTCGATTTTAATAAAAAAAAACATATCAGGTCTTAAATAAAATGTAAAATAGAAATATTTCGCCATGTTTCGTTTAGAAAAAAATTCGATTCAAATTTAGTTTTAAAAAAAGCTTACAAAGCATTTAAATTGTTTAGTGGTTCTGTATATGAAGTTAAAAGAAAAATACCTTGACGATCATTTTATTTCCGGCAATATTTATTATATCCGTCCCTCCGTCATCACCACTGCCCTCTCAATCAAATATTTATAAATTTTATTAATATCATTTTGTTTTGATAAAAAATAATACCTATCATTGCCATTTCCCTCAGGCCACTTATGATATGTCCAAAGTCATCTAAACAAATAAAAAAATGCTTTTATAAATTCCTACTTTTTTTCTGGGTTTCTGGTTTACTACCAGAAATGTTTTTTGTTAAAAAAGTTTTAAAATGTAATAGTGCTATTTAGAAGACAAAATCGGGTTATCTGATATATTTTTTAAAAACATTGGACATTTTTGAATTGAGGTCAGCCTTAGAAGAAATACAAAGGAATTGAGTTTTTGCCACAAACTCTGATTTTCTAATCCCTTTAATATCCAATGTGGGAGACCTTAGACATTTCAAACTAGGAATTCTGTTAGATAAAATAATCAAAGTTTGAAATATCCAATGTTCAAAACATCAAGTTGAAAAGAATTTAGTTCCTTTAAATGGTAAATCTTTTATTTCTTATTTCAATTTTCAATGAGGCTGAGAAGAAAAAAAATCAAAAAAACTATTTCACCCCGAATTGATCAGAGTAACCTGAAAAGATAAAAACTTTAATAAAATTTTTCCGATTTCATCAACCAATGAGAGCTAACAACAACAAAAATATGTAAACAAGGTATCCAGGTATATTTTGTTTACGAAAACTGTTCCCGGCTCTCCAATTGCGCCCATGGAATCCAGCGGAATGAAAAAACCCTTTCACACAAATTTCTCATTTTATGTGCAAGGTTTTGTTGTTCCAACGCAAACTCTTACATTAATGATATATATATATATTAGGTTATATATATATGTATGTATGTATATATAACCTAATTTCGCTCAATTTTTGTGAAGCGGAATTGCGCTTTGATTCCACTCAAACGAAATTTTCACAGTAAAATATAAACCAACCCTATACCCCTCTCCTCAGTTCTTTATATCCTTAGTAATACTGGTGAAAAAGTTCTATTTATTCATAGATTAATAACAATACAGATAGAACACTAGATGTCGTCTTTTCAAGATTTAGGGCGTATTTCGTTCACAATAACCCTGAAGAAGAAGCACAAAGGAGTTACGCGCATGCTGCGTTGAACGACAAGACAGAGAAAGAGCATGCGCGTAACTCCTTTGGGCTTCTGCCTCAAGGTTATTGTGATCCGAAAAACCCCTCAATCTTGAGAAGACGACATCTAGTGTTCTATCTGTATTGTTATTTATCTATGTTTGTTGAATGCTTGACCAAGTGCAATAGAAGACATGTCACTTTTTATTAACTTCAATGCTTGGACATCAAAGACCTCATTTTGTTTATTAATCCAATAATTTCTACTGAAAAGTGAAAAGTTCAAAATGTTTTAAGTATTTACTTTTATGATAATATTCAGCTGGGAACATAAATCATAGTCTGCAGGGGTATTTTGTTTTAAAGCAACAGCAAACAGTTTTTAGCAAAACATCATTTTAATATTTAACATGAGAACTTATTTTAAATAAAATTTTATAAATTTACCAAAAAGTAGAAATTTTCAGCAATTAAGCAAACTTGCGTGTATTTGATGTAAAATAAACAATCAATTAAATAAGTGAAATGCAGTGTCTGGGTAAACTGAAAAATTGATGTATATTGGACTGTTTGAAATCATTATACTTGAATATAACTGTCCCGTCGTTCCGCAGTTTTTATGAAGACTGAAACTATAAACTTTTGTCCTCCTAGTTCGTGTACACTAAACACTGTACTGCATGTGTACACTGTACAGTATACCTTCACTAAGACCTGAATGAAGTAGCTGAATGTACTTGATGGTATAGAACCTGGAACCATGAGTATAAAAATGGTGTACGGACCCTTCACTAAGGCCTGATGTACATGATGGTATTGAACCATGAGTATAAGAATGGCGTAAAGTACCTTCACTAAGGCCTGATGTACATAATGGTATAGAACCATAAGTATAAGAATGGTGTATAGTACCTTCACTAAGGCCTGGATGTGCCTGTATAGTAGTAGCTTTATGTACATAATGGTATTGAACCATAAGTATAAGAATGGTGTACAGCAACTTCACTAAGGCCTGGATGTGCCTGTGTAGTAGTAGCTGTATGTACATGATGGTATTGAACCATGAGTATAAGAATGGTGTACAGTACCTTCACTAAGGCCTGGATGTGCCTGTGTAGTAGTAGCTGTATGTACATGATGGTATTGAACCATGAGTATAAGGATTGAAATCTGAACCCCTCCACTCATCCTAATAAGAACTAAGTAACTGGATTCCAGGATTAAACAAGGAGAACACAGTTACAGGAATATTTAATAAACACTAAAATTATATTCATGGAAAAGGGAAACGTATAAAAAGCAGAGGCGCAACTATGGTGGTTTTTAGCGGGTGGAGGGCTGATTTGTTTGTGGTACAGTTCAGGACCAGAATATCATGTTCAAGAAAACGGTTAAAGAAATGTTCGTACCATTATACAGTACTGCAATCTAGATTCTAGACAGATAGAAGGAGAAGGTCAAATTCATGCGACATACTAGATACGACTTTGTGACCTCGTATATTTGGTTTTACGGACAACTATGAAAGATTGAAAATTTATCCTGTTTTATATTACTATTAGATATTCAAAATATGATTGTTCTTCTCAATAACCTTTAAATAAGAGGAGTTATAATTGAAAACATACAAAATGTCATTCTTAAGTGCATTTACTTTGCTTTGGCGTCTTTACGGTTCAACGACTAAAATTAATTTATGAACTTCAGGATTTCTTTTCCAGAACCGCGAGATTGTATTTAATATACTTCAATTCTACTATACTGTGATCCTTTAGTAAACGTCTTTTGATTGAATTGCGAATTTTCTACAGACCTTACTGGTGTTTCCCTAATTTAAAGTTTTGTTATGTTAAAAAGCATCCGGGCGTAAGTAATGCCCGAGCTATACTATATATCTGTCTTCAACAATTTCTTTGATATGTAATTTTACGTTATACAATTAATTTTTACAATATTTTAACATGTGCAAGGGAAAGAAGTTAAAATATCCATGTTTATAATTCGAAAAGACGACATTCGAGGAAGAATTTAGTTTTTTTCAATCTTTTTAATCCTTACCACAGGGTGTCCTCGAAATATGACAGAAGCAAGGAGATTTGAAGGTCGTCTTTGATCTTTGAAATAATATTGGTTTAATTTAATAGAAGGGGATGGTGGAGATGGCACATTTGATGTGGGGGGGGGGGCCTGCCTTCATTTTTGGTTTAAATCTTCCAATTTTTGGGCTGCACGCCTAATTAGTGATCGAAATTCCTAAAATAAAATCAAATTGAATTTTAATGACCTCTAATGACATCTAATGACCTCCACAAATAGAAAATATTTCAAATATGGCTTATTGCATATCAAATGAAAGCTAGGAACCCAGGGAATTCAGTAGCAGCAACAAATCCAGTGTTTGACCTTCTAATGACCTCTTGCAACCTCTAATGACCTAAATGACCTCCAAAAATGAAAATGTTTTAACTATGGCTTTGTGCATGTCAATTAAAAGCTAGGAACCCCAGGAATACAGTTGCATCAACGAATCCAGTGTTTGGCCTTCTATTGACCTCTAACGACCTCGAATGACCTAAAATGACCTCCAAAATAAAAATTTCAAAACGGTCCGAAATATAATAAAGCTATCCCTCATATAAAACGGAATTTATGTTTTTAAAAATCTACGGCCAACACAGGGTAATTCAGCTAGTACATCATAAAAAGCTTCAATTGCAACATAAAACAGGTTCTCCCAAAAACAAAATTTTGAAGTTTATAAAGAAAACCAGTGTCCTGTGTGGGTTCATCTCGTCCCTAAAATTTAACCATTTCAACGTTCAATGTTGAAATATTAAAAGCACTGTTAAATCATTAAAATATTTAGTTCACATAATTAATTGCACGCATATAATTCTTAACTGTAGTTTTAAGGAAAAAAATCGGACTCTTGTTTTGTCTGACCGATCAGTGGTCGACCAGTGAACGTACTTTAATGGATCACGCACATTGAGTTGAGTGCACAGCTAGTAACAGACTCCTACTCCTAGAATATCTTCGTCCAGTCCAACCAACTTTTATATAACATTGCACTCTGTAAATTTCACGGGAAAAGTTCCAAACTTTACTGTTATTAAATAATGACCTAAATACTGTGGTTAGCGATTAAATCAATACAATGAAGACGTTTTTTATTAGTAATGCTTTGATCTCTAAGAAGCATTTTTAAATTACAAGTTTACAAGAAACATAATTTACAAATTTTCTTTGTTTAAATGTTCATTGTTCAAGTGTTTCTGCTGTTAGATAGATAGGTAAAAGTCAATATTAAAAAATAAGGTAGTCTTCATTGTATTGATATATACGACAACAACTGTACTATACATATCTTAATATAACAATATTATTGGTGAGGATGACCTTAGGAAAATTCTTCATTTTCTTTCATTTAAAGTGACAAATTCACTTTATTTTTAGTAAACATTGAACAAAATTACTGAAAAAATGACAAAATATATTTAGTGTAATTATCACATTTGATTAATAAACAATAAATACGAGTGAATTAAAAGAAAAGTGCACAAGCATATTCTGAGCAAAGCAAAAACCATTACAAAAAACAAGATAATGTGTGAAAAACAAATCTAAAGAAAGCTGTAGAAATTATTTTTTTAAAGAAGAAAATCTGTAATATTGAATTAATCTGAAAAATATGTTTTTTTTGGTATATTGAATACTGTTAGCTGGATTGCTGGATTTATCTTCTAGCTGTAGCATAGTTCTCCTTGTACCAAGTGACCGATTCCTTGATAGCGGTCTCTAGCGGCGTAAATTGGAACTGAGGCAGGTAGCACTTCAACTTGTCGTTGCTGGCGGTCTTCTTAAACTGGCCGTCAGCCTTATCAGTCAAAAACTTCACTTCGCCTACAACAACAAAAAAATTATTTAAGTCAAATCCAATCAATTTTTTTCAAATACGAAACTGCCATTTCTAATTGTAATACTTCAATTTTAATTGAATTAATTGAGCAAGATTATTTAGTTTCTTAAAAAAATATTTTTTGTTGATTTAATTTTTTTTTTGGAAATCTTCTTTAAGATATTTATGAAATTTTAGAGTTGAAGAAAGTACATTTACCAGAATATTTTCGGAGAATAAAAGGAAAATTTCACAAAACAAAAAACTTATCAATAAAAAACTGAAATATACCGGATCTGAATTTCCGCAGAAAAAGCTAAAACATGTTTGTTGACTACCCCTTATATTGTAAAACAAACAGAGCAGAAAGCGTTTAATTTAAAGAATAAAAGATGTTATTGCTGATAAAACAAGGTGACGGGAAAAATCCTCATTAAAGTCTATAAACCAGCTGTTCAGATCGCCATTAACCCTTTATATTACTGCTTCTTTATGCTAGAACTGCAAGGTATTACAGGATCATTTTAAACTTTCTTGGATTTATTAGATATTAAATTAAACAGTTACAAGCTCATACAATGTGCTGAGGATTTGAAGTAAATCCACATTCATGGACATTCTAGGAGATCAATAGTGCTTTCAGACGGGAGGGGTAGTGGTCATCTTGACCCCTCCCCCCCTGCAACGTTCCTTTTTACTTAATCAACCTACCCCCTCCCACCTGACTAAAATCCAAAATACGCGCCGGGGGGAGATGATAAAAGTCGTCTTTATTTACGTCCCAGATCCTTTTGCCTTTTAACCCCCAAATATTTACTCTCAGAACAAGTTTTCTATTTCACAAAAAAAAGTTTAAACTTCTAGTTTTAAGTAAGGAATTTTGTTGTATGAACAACATTTTACAACAACAAATTCAAATCAATAGAAATTATGGAGCTCGTGTTTTGTGTTTCTTCAAAACTTCAGAAGACGTTTAAAATATTTATCTAATTTGATTTAAATAATACATGAAAACCAAAAAATAAAATAAGAAGTTTTGCGGAAATACAACTTAAAATTTTGAGTATCAGAAAAAAGGAGACTTGCATATCAAACTTAAGATTTCTAAAAACTAAAATTATTAAAAATTTAAATTCGGGTCATTAACCCAGATCGAAAGAATTTATAAAATATCACATTGCCAATTTTTCAATGGGTTTTATACGATCACACTTAAATCTCAGTAATTGTAAAAATAAGTAAATAGCCAAGAAATATGCGGAAACAGCTTTAAAGAGTTAAATATCTGCTGCATTCCATTATCCGTATAGGCTAAGAAAACGACATTTTATTTATTCTTACTATGTCTCCAAAGTTCTGCGTTAAACTGTTTACCTTGGAATTCTGCGGCATCCTTTATCATGAATGCAACATCCTGTGGTTAAACAACATTTTTACAAAAAAAAATAGTTTTTAAAACTTTTTTTTTGGGGGGGGGGGGATCTTTAAACAATCTTTAATGGTGTGGTATCCCATCTGGATCCAGGGAGGATCTGGATCATGGGAGCGGAAAATACGGATCCGAATCCAGGGAGCGGAAATAAGCAGATCTGGATCCAGGGAGCGGGGAAAAACACAAATCTGGGTCCAGGGAGCTAAAAAACACGGACCTGAATCCATGAAGTGGAAAATCACGGATCTGTTTCAGGGGAGAGGGAAAAATACTGATCAAAATGCATGAGTGGAAAAAGGGAGGAATCGGATCAGGATCCTAAACCTTGATATAAAAATTTGTTTTTAATGCATGATAAGATAAAAATGATAAAAACATTTTTTTAATAATTTTTGAAAAGATATTGTTTCCTTGATAGAGACTTCTTGATCTGATGCTAGAATGATGGGATCCACCTCCTGATATATATTTAATATATATCTAGTATTATCCAACAAGTGGATATTAATTCATATCTTGGGGAAGTAAATAAAAAATAAGATATTACAGACTAGCTGGAGTGCCCAGCGTTGCCCGTGGAATACATTTTTAAAAAATATTTTTTTTATAAAAAGAGAAGTTTTTTTTAGCCTATTGTACCCCTTGGGTTTCCTCATAAAATTTCAGTCCATTCTGTCCAGCCGTTTGACCAGCTATAGCCGACATACATATATATGAGCGTTGAGCGAAGAGCTTTATTGTATAGATAATAGTTATGCCATAGATGAGAATTTCAATAAATTAAATTTTATTTGAATTAAGACTTCCACTTTATATGTATACTAGCCTTAGAAATGTTCTCTTTGTGTACATCGTAAAACAAAACAAAAATAATTCGCGGATTTTCACAAAACATTTCGTGGATTTTCAAAATGTTCAAAAATTTAATGAAGATAGAATTTTGATGGAGACAAATATTTGAAATTTTGAACATTCATAAACCTTCCCTGGGGTCCCTAGATGTCCCACAAAAAATTTGGGCCCGATCGGTTCAGCCGTTTTGACGTTTATTGGATACAAACAAACAAACAAACAAACAAACAAACAAACAAACAGACACCCAAGCCAAATTTATATATAGATTAAAGGAAAATGGGACTTAATATCCCATTTCTCTTCAAAAATTAAAACCATGTAATACTTGTAATATCCAACATGGACAGTGGACACTTAGGTGAAAAACCTTGCCGAGAAAAATGTTGATCAACTACGGAGAAAAAATGGCTACTTAGAAAACATCACTGAAACTCTAAAATTGTTCCTAAAAGAGGGGCGCGAAGCGCCTTAAAAGTATAGTTTTGATAAAAAAATAAAATACTTTGAAATGTTTACAAATTTAAAAACTAAATATATTTCCTTGTATTCACGTAGAACCCATATTATCAGTTTACCAAGATCTAAATGAAAAACATGTTAGTAATAAATGAATTAAAAACTTGACACAATCTGTAAATTTGTAATCGTTACATCGTTGCAGCCGGATGTCGAAGACCTTTGACTATCCAAATATTAAATATTAACTTTAACTTGAAATAGCTTGCAAGGATATATGGATTAGAACATTTAGAGTTCATAGGAAGTATCCACCCCCAAAGTAGGAGTTTTGAGCGTCGAATTAGCGCGCAAACTCGGGATTTACAGATCTTTAAAAAGTTTAATATGTTTCAAATGAATCCGAAAGAAGTTTTCCACAACACATACTCAGTTCAACTACATTACATAGCCGGTCACTCCCTTTAACAATAAATCAATATTTATTTCAAACACTTATTTTTAAAATCAAATAGGGGCAACGTTATTTAGCCGACATTTGAGTATGCTAAGTTTGCAAGATTATATATTTTAAGCCCAGACCAATGTCAAATAACCGTATTTAGATTTGAAAATCATACTTTTAAATGACCCTCGAATCTGATTAAATTCTATAAAGTGCTAATAATGATGAAAAATGTATAAATCTGTACTGCATGAACTCTTAGGCGTACTGTACCTATGCTATAGATGAACTGCCTGAGTGGAGAACCAGTTCCCCAAATCTCGAATGGAGTTCCATTCTTTTGAGCCTTAAAATAATGTTAATTTAAAAATTTTGATATTTTCGGTTTTTTACAAAATATTCTGAATTAGAATAAGATTTAATATGGAACGTTTAACTTCATGTGATCAATAAAATCTACTAAGAGACAGTTAACGGAGTCTTAAACAATTTTTACACCAGAAATGGACAAATTTGGGACATTTTCTTGCTCGCCTATGGCAAAAATGGAGAAAGAAAAACAAAAATATCATCATAATGGTCGTCTTATACTTAATTTACAATTACAATATCTTTGCACAATTTAATGAAAGTTTAAATGTAATATAAGAGATTCTGGGAGAGATATGGTTTTATTTTTAACCTTCTCACCTCAACAACTTTATTAATAAGTCCAGGGACCACATGTCCGTTCTGTATATTGAAGTTATCATGAGGTCCAAACACGTTGCAGGGGATTATAGAGGTGAAATCACAGTTGTACTGTTCCTTGTACGATCTGTTCAGTACATCTAGATATAGATATTGTAAAGTACTGCTAGTTGTACGATATGTTCAGTACATAAAGTACAACGTTCGAATTTAGATGTAAAGTATTGCTGTTTGTACTGTTCGTTGTACAATCTGTTCAGTACAACGGTTGAATATAGATATGAAAAGAGTACTCTCAATTATACTATTCCTTGTATGATCTGTTTAGTACAACGGTTAAATATAGATCTTGAAGTAATGAATTTGTACTATTCCTTGAATGATCTGTTTAGTACAATGGTTAAATATAGATGCTAAAGGAATACAAATTGTACTATTTATTGTATGATCTGTTCAGTACATCTAGTACAACGGTCAAATATAGATATTGTAATCGTTGATGGTAAACTAAATAAAATTGAGAATATTTCCTCCAGACACATTTCAGGCACAAATTAAAAATGTTTGATTCAAACAATCATCAAGCGGATGCCAGTAGAATATAAAAAAAATTTGAATGTTCACGATTTTGAAAACAGGAATTGTTAAAGAAATAATCTCAAATCGACCTTAAACCTAAAATTATAATTGAATTAAATCAGTCAACATGTCTAATAGTTACCAGTCCCTTTAAATTGGTTTTTAATAATTACCAATCATTCGTTTAGCGTAGGAGTATCCATAGTTTGAAGAATGCGGAGGTCCATTGTGTAACATTGTTTCATCAATAGGATAGGTCGTCTTATCCGGGAATATACAGGTAGACATACAGGACACTACCTGAACAAGACGACATTTAGAAATATTATTTCATTAATAAGATAGGTCGTCTTATCCGGGAATATACAGATAGAAAATGACATGTAGGATACTACCTGAACAAGACGACATTTAGAAATTCAGAATAATTCTAAACCCTTAATTTGTTGTCTTTTTAATAAAAAGGATTTTAGGATCTTTGCGCTCATTTTTCAAGTAACTATTCTTTTTTATTTACATTTCCTCTTCAAATCGCCATTTTTTCTTTTTAGACATTAAATATAAAATTTTGCGAATTTTTGTTTTCATTGATTAATTCCCAAAAGTTAAAGTGCATATGGGGTTTTAAAACAAAAAAATTTACAGTGGGACCTTTAAAACTGTGAAATAGGAAGACAACTTTTAGCCTTAGCTTAGGTTACAATTACAGGGGACATTAGTTCCAAAACTAACACTTGGCAGAGTAAAAGTCGATAATAAAAACTATAACCAACATTTTATTAAACATGACGTAAATGCTTGAAAATTGACATTGATATGAAATCCGTTAATTGTCGCAAAACCAGGATATGTTCCGAAAACGCGACATGAGCTGAAATCTGGTAATTGTTTCAAAATAGGGATATGTTCGAAAATGAAATCAAGAATCATCAAAAACTAATTCTCACGCCTTATTATTAGTTTAAAATTGACATTTATTGCTTCAATACATAGTTTTAACCATTTTTTTTATAAATAAATGGTGTAATTTTGTTCTATTCGTCTTGGATTTAAAGATATATACTCTTGAAAAAGATAACTTAGCAGATTTGACCCATTTCTAACACTCAGTGTTAGAAATGGGCCAAATGTAGTTTTGGAACTATTATCCCCTGAATTACAAGTCCACTAAACAAAAGACTGGGCAATCCGGGATTTTTAAGATATTTTAGTTAAATATTTTGCTTTCTAACAACATTAAATACACTTTATAATTGATTTAATGTCGTCTTCCTATTCAATTGTTTTCTGATTCTCATATATATAAAGATACAGATGGGTGAAATTAGGTTTACCTTTTTTACGTTGAACTTCTGAGCCATCTCTAGAATATTTGTATTCATTTTCATATTCAATCTTAACATATTTTTCATTAGTTAGGGACTGGGGTCAATTTCTCACTTTAACAAAAACCACAATTGAAAATAATTAACTTGTTAAAATAGAAGATTAAGGATATCTCATGCAATCTTGATTAGACAAAGCTTTAAAAATACCCAGCTCTGAATCGAACTTATGCCACTTAATTAATTGAGATTCACTTTATAGGGAGGAAAAATAGTCTCCGCGTTCATGTATGCTTGTGGGACTATTTTTATGTTTTTTTTCTTCAGCTTTTACGTTTACAACATCCCTTTTCTTTAAAAGGTTTGTTGGAAAAAACATTCCTCCTTTTTGAACCTTTTTTGTTGATAAATGTTTTTTTCCCACTTAAAATTATGTTCATCACAAAAAATGTCAGCTTTCATTTCAATATTCATGATATTTTGATTAAACATTTAAAATAAATTAATTCTAATGAAAATTCCAAATACACATTTATAAAACCAGGGACCAAGTATAGTGATTTGAGCTAGATCGCTGACCTTCCTGTGAAGTAAAAATGAAAGGGGGTATAGGGTTAAGCCTTAAAGTCCCTTTAACTGGCGGTAGGTAGTTCAGTAAAATCTCCAATTCATAAAACTTGGTCCAGGATAATGAAAAATAGAAACTGAATCCGGATATGAAATCTTCGACATCTAATTTGTTGAACAAAAAGTTTCATCTAACAGTGTGACTTTATTTATGAAAAAATGCAAGCGTCATAAACTTTTTCAAAGGGTTTTCATAATAACAAATATAGAAACCCAGAGGCCGAATTTTAAGATTTGAGCCGCGGCTTAAAATTGAGCTGCGGCTCAAATATGATTCATTCCACTTAAATTGTATCTAATGTTTCAAGATTAAAGCCGGCGCTAAATTGAAACAGGTTTTTGGCGGATTTCAGACGCGGCTCAAATTCATTAAATTCGGACTCTGACCTCATTGTTTTACTATGTTTTATGTTTCTTAGTTGCTTCTTGGTTGTAAAGGGATAGTGGCCATAATTTCAATTGACCCTCCATTAAAATGTCCAATTCACAACGGTGCCCTTTAAACTTTTAATCTCCTGTTCAACGAAATAACCAACCTTTAATTCCCTCCTTTTTTATTTCCAGGGAGGATAATTACTTATCCTCCCTATTTACAGGGAGGATAATTACTTATCCTCCCTATTTACAGGGAGGATAATTACTTATCCTCCCTCTTTACAGGGAGGATAATTACTTATCCTCCCTGTGATCCATACAGATTTATCAAATAAATAGTTCTCTAATTATTTAATATTGAACAGGAGATAAAAAAAATATTGTCTGGAAAAAATCATAATTGACAGTTTTATTGATTTCATTATTATTTTATCCCCCACGGTTGGTTATTTCGTTGAACAGGAGATTAAACGATAAATTACTACTTAACCGGGAGTTTTCATGAGGATAAATAAATTGAGGGGAAAACCACTTAGCCTTGGGCCTCCTCGACCTTTTTGGGGTTCTAAACCTCCCTCGCTACGCTCGTGAGGTTTAGAACCCCAAAAAGGTCTTGGAGGCCCTCGGCTAAGTGGTTTTCCCCTCAATTTAATTATCCTCCCTTAATCTCCCGGTTAAGTAGTAATTAATAGTTATATCCGAGTAACAATGAGAAAGATAAGTTGTTTTTCTATCTAAAAATTGTATTTGCTAATTGCGGTTTTCATATATTTGTACAGATATGACATGGAGTTAAAGATACAGACTAAGTATTCAAGTCTTGATTAAGTGCACCCTTTTTATATCTCTAAACGAAGGGTGCCTTGACATTACAACAGTCCTTAGACGCTTCGTTTTTTATTACCTGAAGAAATCACAGTTAGCTTTCATATTAGCGAATAGTCCCCCAACTATAGCTGCTAGATGAATTACATGGGTTGGTTTATACTTCTCAAACAGGGCCATCGTACTAGATTCACTAAACACAAGCAAATATTGTCAATTCTCATCAAAATTACACTTGGACCAGATTGATTGAATTATATGTATGAAGTAGTTGAACTACGTTATAGTCTATATTGAATAACTTCTTTTGACCTTGACCCAGTGCACAAAAGCTCTGGTTGAACCGGCGTTACGTGGTTCAACTAATTCTCGATATATTCATTAAATCTGTTTCCTTGTTTACTTCTGTTCCTCTTTTCATAAATTCAGGTCTCATTAATCTTTTTATGTTATAAAGGTCTGAAACCGTGGAATCCATTTTAAATTTCAATATATTTTTTTTTGTATTAAATAAGTTCTTTGATAACCAATCCTAATATAGTTTAGGTTGAAAATATTCCTTTAATATTTGTTCGAACCTGGCATTCATTTTGTTGGTATTATGTTAAACAATGTTAATATCGTTTCTTTTGTTGATAAATAAACAATTTGAATATTTTTGAAGAAATTGTCTCCTAGAGATAACTTTGAAAAATAATATATAAAGTTGAACCCATAAAGTTGTGGAATAGGAAGACGAGGCCTGGGCTCAAGTTATGATATTTAATTAGCCCATAAACTTGAAACACAGAAATTTTGCAGTGTAAACGAACAGACCTATTTCACTAAATTAAGACTCATTTGGTATATGAAGACGATATTTAAGAGATCTATTGTGCATTTGATATTGTTAAAAAGTGAATTGTTGTGTTTCGGGTTTTGTTTGATAATTATTTACAACTACTTCACAGGAAAGTTAAGGTAATTTCACTCTACCAAAGTTCCCAAAATCAATTTGTAAAACATCCAGAGTGTACCGAGGGATGTTTTTTATACAAAATTGGTCGAGGGAACCCGTGGTTAAGTATAATTTTTAATTTCCCAAAAAGTAGTTGTACACAATTTTATCGTCTTTTGAGATGAAAATGCGCGAAATTTGTTCCCCCAAAATTTTGCAGATCGGGTGGTTATTTTACATAACTGGGCCAATGGACGATAAGAAACTTAACCTCCCTCTGCTAGGGGAATCATAGGTCGGTAATGTTGGTCAAAATGCGGTAAAATAACTAACATTCGTCTTCCTTTTCCAGTTTTATGGATCTCTCTGTATGTACATATCTACATAAAAACTGCAAGTTGTTCCGGAATAAATAAACAAAGATGCCAGGATACGGCATTATTCATGATATAACCCATAGATAAGATTACTTTTAGATTCACTGAGAATAATATATTTTTAGTTTATATTTTATAAACAAGATATTGCAGGAAAAGTGCACTTTTTAAATTTGCATTGGAGTTAAGCCAAGAGGTAATTAATAAAAAATGTTTAAAAGAAGTAATAGAGTTTCAGGTAAAACAGTCAAGTGGGATACAAACTGTTTTAGCGTCTTTGCACTAAAGCCGCAGGTAATTTCAAGAAACCCCGATTCACAACGGTACCACTAAAAGCTTTATGTGATCAAGATACGATTTAGATATCAATGTTTATACTTTTTAAAACTTATTTTTTTCAATTGTGGTTTATCAACAAAAGTGACTCACGCATTTCTAATACAGGAAACATTTTTAAACCTAAGAGTATTTTCACATTTTTAATCAGATAAAGGTTTCAAGGGGTACCGTTGTTAATCGGGCAATTGTTATCTTTGCACGGAGAATCACACGAAGTTACATTTACAGTCCCTTTTAGATCCATACGTTTTGCCCTCAGGTATAGGTAAACCTTCTTAACATAAACCTTTACTAAACCTGTTTTTCATAATATGTGCTACAAAAATATCTTAAAGGGGCTGTAAGCGTAATTTCAAGATGCTTAGATGGCAATGCCCGATTCACAAAAGTACCGTTGAAATCTTGATCTATTTAATAATGTGGAAGATATTCTTGTTTTTCTAGGCATAAAAGTGTTTAATTTTGACAATTCCTAAGTATTTTCCTGCACTAGAATTGTGAAAGTCACTTTTGTAGAAACTTCACAATTGAAAATTAACTTTAAGTTATCAAAGTTGTTAACATTGATATCTTATTCATGTACATGATCAGAAAAGCTTTTAGGGGTACAGTTGTGAATCGGGCATTGCCATGGAGGGTCACTGAACCTTAATCTAAACAAACCTGGATAAATCTGCATCTTTGCTAGACAAGAATATCCATTCTTCTCCCTCCTCTTTACAAGATTCGAGAGCAGTTTCAATACCTTCATAATGATATAAATGATACTTTAGCTGAAGTGCCCGGCGTTGCCCGTAGAATCTTTTTTAAAATGTAAATTTTTTTAATAACATTTTTGAATTTATAAACAAAAAAAATTATTTTTTAGCCTATGTTACTAGATAAATGTCAGCTAATTCGGTCCAGCCGTCTGGCCAGCTATAGCTAATATAAATACAAATACACATACATATATATATATGAACGAAGACCTTTATTATAAAGATAGAAGTATTTAATTAAACACCAAAAAAGTGAATCTCTATTCAGAGAAAAATTTTAATTGAGATAAAAACTCCACTTCTTGCAAGTAAACCCTCTAACCCATCTATTTCTAATTCAAGAAAAAATGTTTTAAAAGGGGGGGGGAGTTAATTTTCAATTATTTACCTTTCCCGACCAATCCAGTCCCACCGGTGACAAGAATTACTCTTTTTTCCATTTTATCTGAAATAATAATCAAACAGCGAGTACAAAATAGGAAATGAAAAATTCTCAAAAAAACATCGAAAATATGTAATAATATCTAAGAGTTTGATTTTTTTATTATGACTTATGAGAATGTGATCTGCAAGAAACCCCATGTTGAGCAACCCAGACTGCCTTCAGCAGTATCTGACCCTACAGGAGTATAAGTTAGAACTTCCAAAATTTACCCCGTTTGAAAAGACAATTTTATATTTAGAAGAAAAAACTTCAGGCATACTTAAAAAATAAATGATACTATTTGGCATTTTTATCTATGTAAACATTTGGCTTGTCGTCTGTCTGTTTGTATTCAATAAACGTCAGAATGACTGAACCGATCGGGCCCAAATTTTTAACATTTTTTATATTTTTACAGAAAATATACCAATTTAAACAGAAAAAATCCACGAAAAGTGAAGTTTTAAAATTTCTATGAAAGAATGACGACTTGAAGTGAAACAATTTAAGGCTAAATTTTTTAATAAAAAAAGGGGGGGGGGTTAAGAAGAGCCCTGGAAGCCGTGTATATTTCATATGTAAACCTGGAAACACTGTGTTTTACATTGAACTAATTCCTAAACCACCTGTTAAAATAACATTAAAAAAGGAACAGGTGAGGTTTAAAATTATCTTATAGCTAACATGTCGACGTAATTCTTCTTCTTTAAACTTTTATAAAAAAAATTTATATAAAAGAAGGAAAAAAAATCAAAACAATAATAACATTAAGGTCAACGTAATTCTAACAGATTCTACATTTTATTAGTAAAATCTCAAAAGTACTCATTAAGCATTACACTAAGAAAACAGGGTGTAAAAAACACACATTTAATATATGCCAGTTCTTATTATGGTAAGATTTTTATAATTTTGGACATTTTCAATCGATAGACGCCATAGGCACATTTTGGTTGGTTAAATATTGATATTGAGATAAACGAAAAGTAAAGAAAAACTAAACTAATTATTACAATTATCTACATTTGATATGTTCGAACTACAAATACCAAATAATTTAAGCTTAGACTTGACTAAAGAAAATTTACTCTTTTGAGGCTCTATGAAATCGCAGAACAAAGATAAGAAATCTACGAACTCAACCAAGCCAAAATTGCAAAACTTTAGTCTGCATTAAATTACAAAAACCTCTTAAGACCTCTATTTTGTGTTACCTAATCGGAAATATTAAATCGATTTTGAAACTGTCCAAAAAAAATTATAATTAAAACGAACCATGATGAGAGTTCCAGCTCCTAATGTTAATTTGAAATTGCGAGGTTATGTACGAGGAGAAGGATTTCTTCCAAGAAATTTGTATACAAGATCTTAATTTTAGGTCTGTAGATGTGCGATAAAGTTTCGTGACATAAAAAAAATAATAAGAATTAAAACAATTCCTTTATAGAAATTTTAAGATCTAATCTAAAAATATTTACCTTTTCAATGCATTTACTTTATTTGTTTTACTTTTCTATTTATCGATAAGTAGAAAGAGGCGTATTCAGAGGGGGTCCCTCCTATCAATTTTATACATGACCACTTATTTTTTATTTTTCAGCAAAATTATTATAATTTATTGTTTTATTATTCTAGGATTAAGTTAGGTTAAGACAATTTCTGCGCTGCGCCTAGGACAGGCTAGGGGGCCAAGCGCTGCGGCTAGGACAGTCTAAGGGGCCGAGCGCCGAGGCTAGGACAGGCTAGGGGCCGGGCGCTGTGGCCACATGACCAATATTACCCATGTGTTACATATGAGATCCATGAACAAAATTGATTATTAGGGACCAAAATGCTGGGCTTGGAGACAGAATGCCGGAGGATCGGAGACGTAGTGAGAGGCACACGGAGACGGTTTCGCGGGGCTTGGAGGTCATTCTGCAAATCTGGAGGCTAGAAGGTTGTTTTTGCGGAGCTCATTCGCCCTTACAGCCCCTCCCTTGGTACATTCGGTACACGTTCGATATAAAATTTCGGAAAAAAATAATATTTAACTGATCGATTCACTTTCACTGAACTTAACACCCAATTTAAAGTCAATAAAACTTACTAACATAAACTAAGCTAAAAATAGATAATTTCAGTTAAGAATTTCAATCTTTTCTCATGTTTTGGTTTTACTGAATCGTATTCGTGTCTGCTTGTTGACTCTAAAATATTGAGAAAGCTAAACAGCTGACGTGGTGCAGACTGCAGACACAGGGTTTCATTTTTTTACTGAGACAATGCAGGATCTACTTTTTATGTAAAATGGGAGAAACTTAACATAAGAGGGTAAAATTTAGAGATGGAAAAGTTTAAAGTAACTCTTCAATAAATGAGGAGGGCGGGGTCATCACCAAAAAATATTTAATAATATGGCTTTTAAGGTAATTGTATTTTGACGCTGCACCGGGGCGCTGGGGCGCAGGGGACGCGGACGAGGGAAGCTTAAATTCAAATATTTGGCCGGGTCAAGAGTCCGGTATCTTAAGAGCGGTATTAGCTAATACCGCTCTAATACCACTCTTAACACTAACACCGGTGTTTAGGAAAT